ACTCAAATTTCCCTTATTAGAGCATTAGTGACCTTAATTAGACCATTTTTATACCTAAAATTATTGATTTTTTGTGACGACGCCAAATGAATTTCAGCCAATAGTGGTCCAATCGAGCTGAAACTTGGCTAGAAATTTTTGCGGGTCTGAAAACCCTAAAACCACTCAAATTTCCCTTATTAGAGCATTAGTGACCTTAATTAGACCATTTTTATACCTAAAATTATTGATTTTTTGTGACGACGCCAAATGAATTTCAGCCAATAGTGGTCCAATCGAGCTGAAACTTGGCTAGAAATTTTTGGCGGTTCTGAAAACCCTAAAACCACTCAAATTTCCCTTATTAGAGCATTAGTGACCTTAATTAGACCATTTTTATACCTAAAATTATTGATTTTTTGTGACGACGCCAAATGAATTTCAGCCAATAGTGGTCCAATCGAGCTGAAACTTGGCTAGAAATTTTTTGCGGGTCTGAAAACCCTAAAACCACTCAAATTTCCCTTATTAGAGCATTAGTGACCTTAATTAGACCATTTTTATACCTAAAATTATTGATTTTTTTTGACGACGCCAAATGAATTTCAGCCAATAGTGGTCCAATCGAGCTGAAACTTGGCTAGAAATTTTTTGCGGGTCTGAAAACCCTAAAACCACTCAAATTTCCCTTATTAGAGCATTAGTGACCTTAATTAGACCATTTTTATACCTAAAATTATTGATTTTTTGTGACGACGCCAAATGAATTTCAGCCAATAGTGGTCCAATCGAGCTGAAACTTGGCTAGAAATTTTTTTGGGTCTGAAAACCCTAAAACCACTCAAATTTCCCTTATTAGAGCATTAGTGACCTTAATTAGACCATTTTTATACCTAAAATTATTGATTTTTTGTGACGACGCCAAATGAATTTCAGCCAATAGTGGTCCAATCGAGCTGAAACTTGGCTAGAAATTTTTTGCGGGTCTGAAAACCCTAAAACCACTCAAATTTCCCTTATTAGAGCATTAGTGACCTTAATTAGACCATTTTTATACCTAAAATTATTGATTTTTTGTGACGACGCCAAATGAATTTCAGCCAATAGTGGTCCAATCGAGCTGAAACTTGGCTAGAAATTTTTTGCGGGTCTGAAAACCCTAAAACCACTCAAATTTCCCTTATTAGAGCATTAGTGACCTTAATTAGACCATTTTTATACCTAAAATTATTGATTTTTTGTGACGACGACAAATGAATTTCAGCCAATAGTGGTCCAATCGAGCTGAAACTTGGCTAGAAATTTCTGGCGGGTCTGAAAACCCTAAAACCACTCAAATTTCCCTTATTAGAGCATTAGTGACCTTAATTAGACCATTTTTATACCTAAAATTATTGATTTTTTGTGACGACGCCAAATGAATTTCAGCCAATAGTGGTCCAATCGAGCTGAAACTTGGCTAGAAATTTTTTGCGGGTCTGAAAACCCTAAAACCACTCAAATTTCCCTTATTAGAGCATTAGTGACCTTAATTAGACCATTTTTATACCTAAAATTATTGATTTTTTGTGACGACGCCAAATGAATTTCAGCCAATAGTGGTCCAATCGAGCTGAAACTTGGCTAGAAATTTCTGGCGGGTCTGAAAACCCTAAAACCACTCAAATTTCCCTTATTAGAGCATTAGTGACCTTAATTAGACCATTTTTATACCTAAAATTATTGATTTTTTGTGACGACGCCAAATGAATTTCAGCCAATAGTGGTCCAATCGAGCTGAACCTTGGCTAGAAATTTTTGCGGGTCTGAAAACCCTAAAACCACTCAAATTTGTTCTCCGATCGAGCTGAAACTTGGCTATAAGTTTTCAGCTAATCTGAAAACCCTAAAACCATTGAAATTTCCCTTATTAAAGCACTAGCATCCTTAATTGGAGCATTTTTATACCTAAATTTATTGATTTTTTGTGACCACGCCAAGCATATCTCAGCCGTATGTTCTCCGATCGAGCTGAAACTTGGCTATAAGTTTTCAGCGGGTCTGAAAACCCTAAAACCATTGAAATTTCCCTTATTAAAGCACTAGCATCCTTAATTGGGGAATTTTTAACCCTAAATTTATTGATTTTTTGTGACCACGCCAAGCATATCTCAGCCGTATGTTCTCCGATCGAGCTGAAACTTGGCTATAAGTTTTCAGCGGGTCTGAAAACCCTAAAACCATTGAAATTTCCCTTATAAAAGCACTAGCATCCTTAATTGGGGAATTTTTAACCCTAAATTTATTGATTTTTTGTGACCACGCCAAGCATATTCAGCCGTATGTTCTCCGTTTTTTTTTTAAATCTATCCTAATTGGAATTTTTAACCTAAATTTATTGATTTTTTGTAACCACGCCAAGCATATCTCAGCCGTATGTTCTCCGATCGAGCTGAAACTTGGCTATAAGTTTTCAGCGGGTCTGAAAACCCTAAAACCATTGAAATTTCCCTTATTAAAGCACTAGCATCCTTAACTGGGGAATTTTTAACCCTAAATTTATTGATTTTTTGTGACCACGCCAAGCATATCTCAGCCGTATGTTCTCCGATCGAGCTGAAACTTGGCTATAAGTTTTCAGCGGGTCTGAAAACCCTAAAACCATTGAAATTTCCCTTATTAAAGCACTAGCATCCTTAATTGGGGAATTTTTAACCCTAAATTTATTGATTTTTTGTGACCACGCCAAGCATATCTCAGCCGTATGTTCTCCGATCGAGCTGAAACTTGGCTATAAGTTTTCAGCGGGTCTGAAAACCCTAAAACCATTGAAATTTCCCTTATTAAAGCACTAGCATCCTTAACTGGGGAATTTTTAACCCTAAATTTATTGATTTTTTGTGACCACGCCAAGCATATCTCAGCCGTATGTTCTCCGATCGAGCTGAAACTTGGCTATAAGTTTTCAGCGGGTCTGAAAACCCTAAAACCATTGAAATTTCCCTTATTAAAGCACTAGCATCCTTAATTGGGGAATTTTTAACCCTAAATTTATTGATTTTTTGTGACCACGCCAAGCATATCTCAGCCGTATGTTCTCCGATCGAGCTGAAACTTGGCTATAAGTTTTCAGCGGGTCTGAAAACCCTAAAACCATTGAAATTTCCCTTATTAAAGCACTAGCATCCTTAATTGGGGAATTTTTAACCCTAAATTTATTGATTTTTTGTGACCACGCCAAGCATATCTCAGCCGTATGTTCTCCGATCGAGCTGAAACTTGGCTATAAGTTTTCAGCGGGTCTGAAAACCCTAAAACCATTGAAATTTCCCTTATTAAAGCACTAGCATCCTTAACTGGGGAAATTTTAACCCTAAATTTATTGATTTTTTTGTGACCACGCCAAGCAAGTCTCAGCCGTATGTTCTCCGATCGAGCTGAAACTTGGCTATAAGTTTTCAGCGGGTCTGAAAACCCTAAAACCATTGAAATTTCCTTAGTTGCCCCGTCGAAGATATCGCATGAATTTCGAAATGGTATTATGTTTTTTTTAGAATGAATATGTTATTTGATTTATTGTTTCGTATATTTTGATACAAATCTACATCAAAATCACTATTTACATTTTTATTAAAATTTAAAAATTTGAACGAAAACTGAACAAAATAAAAACAATTTTCTTTCGATATTCTGTTATTTTAGTAGTGGAGGTATACAGTGTCTCTTAATTGGATTCTTAATTATATAATATAAATTATACAATTTGCATATAATGCCGCTGGTTATATAAGAAACAAGGAGGCACAATGTGGAAGAAAAATTTTCAGTTAAAAGTCATTTACGCAAGCACGATTCGAACCCACGACGGGTTAGCTCACTTGCTTCAAAGGCCTTTGAACTCTTGCCTACCACACCGAAAATTTGAACAGCTCGTATTCAAAACACTCTCACGAAGATCCCGAACAAATTTTAATATACAACCTAAAGAAGCATTTTCCATTACTACCAAATTTTTACATTCTTTGGTTACAATGTAGCATTTGTATCATATCAATCTGCACAATACAAGTTTATTTGAAATAAAGTCGGTACTATTTAAAACCTTGTTCGACGGGACAACGGGTAGAATACGGTGAGAATAGCGAAGAAAAAGATTGCGACAGTTGTAAGAATCATGTCGATGAAAACCAAACCACGGCCGGAATTCGCCTCCTCCGTCGCCAGGTTAAAAGTAATTGCGGAGTTGTTGGTTTTTTTCGATTGAGTGACGGGAAGGGGTGCTGAAAAATTATAATTGAAGTTTAGAAATTATTCTTACGAATTACTGGAACTGCAATGTCCGAAGATGACGAAGTAAAGAATGACGGTTAGCTTCATATTACTTATTTCGTCAATGAATGAAGCTGACACTTGTTATGCAGGCATCTATCGTATGGGGAGGAGCCTTGAGACCGTCGGCAGTGTTTTTGTTTTTCCAATATTAAAAAAAAAAAAACAAAAATATTTATGAATCTTTGGAATAACAAGAAATCGTTATTTGGCTTTCTGCTTAAAATGGTGAACACTGAATGAAAAACGAAAGAATTCCGTTTCAATAGAACAACTAAATTGTTTTCGTTGTATTTATGAAGTATATGAGTGAAAAATAGTTTTAAGTAGTATATCCTGTATGGAAATTTATCAAGTAGACATTATCAAGTAGACAGAATTCCGGAATAACGTGTAACGAAAAATTTCGAAGAAGCATTAAATGATAGATACAGTGGTACACTAAATCGGTGACTGGAGAAAAGCTGAATTAATGGATATTTGATAGAATTTGCTAGACAAAAAACAATAACAATATTTGAAAAAAACAAAAAAAACTAACAAGGAAACTTATTATTTAGTGGCTACAACAGAATTATTATAAAATTAGTAAAAAAAAAGAAACAAAGAGGTATCACTGGTTTCGCTTAAGCGGAATAACTAGAGCTTGATCACGAGCCGAGAAGACCATTGTGTACTTTACTAAAAGATTGAATTTTTTTTAATGGAATCTATTAGATTTTAGTCACCTCGTTCTTCTTGTATTTCTTGGCATCATTTCCTTCAATTTTGTCGTCAATTAAGTCCGACTTACGACGAATTCGACGGTTTTCCGTAATCCCACTAGATGTAGATGGGACAGTCGGGTCAAACGAAGTGGATTGGGAGTCCGAATCAGAAGAATGATTGGAAGAATTCACGTGTTGGATTTCTTCCTTGGTATTTTTCACGGAGACTCCTTGAACGTCTGATGTTTTAACATCCATCGTACTATTCAACTGAAACTTTTTGGTTTAATCCATCACCAAAAAAAACCGATTTCCACCATCACTGGTTAAAAAACTGTCGACAAGAAAAACAAACTCACTGCGATTTCTGTTGTTTCCTTGGTTTTTACAGCGACGGCATTATAAATATTGAATAGCACATATAATAACATATGTATAAAAGACAAGAGAAGACAAATTACCGAAGAAACAGTAGCTGAAGGCATTGAATCCTCAGGAGCAGAAGCGATTAGTGAAGTGAGTTCGTTGGCCATTGCCTCACGCATAATGTCGATGTCGTCCATTGAAACCCCATCGAGGTTGGGCATCACATAATCAATATTTTCGTGCTTCTAAAGCGTTTACCTTGACTAAATTTAGAATCGGACAAGTTGCTTACGTTTGGTGCAAAGATCTCAAACTTCACCACGAGAGGCTCAAAGCTGGAATTAAAAAGGTGTCTAAAAAAAAGTTTTTTTAAAAATCTTACTTCAACTCATTTGAAACTGTAGCCGACTGTATTCTCTCTTGGTTCTCATCGGCTTCTGCAGTTTCCGTAATTGGTGTCGGGACATGAAATGTTTGTGTAGAGACATCCTTTTTATCTTTCTAAAGTTACATTAAAATTATCACAGAAATTAGAATAAAAATAACCGGTTCAATAAAATTATTAGGATCCGCAATGAAATTCTTCACAACGTCAGTGATCTGATCACGCAACACGTCGGCTCCAGTTTTTGATATCGCCGATTTGTTGGATGGGAAATCTATAGCAACATTCGCAACTATCTGAGAAATTTGTGTTATGTAATTATGGGAAAATTGACTATTTTACCTGCTCTTTTTCTTTAATTACTTGTGACAACTGCACAACCAAAAGATTTGCTGAACTAGAGAAGCCCTTGGATGATGATTGATTGTGGGCTGACTCGGTCGTTGAAGATCCTGGGTTAGACGACGACATTTCACTGAGTTTTCTGCAATGGACAAAATAGAAAAAAGAAAACAAGCAATCCACAAATTTAAAAGACAGAAATATTTAGCAACGTGTAAAAAAATGTGTCCCAGAAGGAGGGCGCAGACAAGTTTGGGCTACTGTAGTCATCGCAACTAATTGTGGGCGTGGACACAGACTCCTCCTACTTTTGTCACTTGAGCTCCGCCCACTGTTTTACCTCACTTGAGCTACCACCTCTCATTCAGTTGCATTTTAGCTACCATCAGCACCAATCCATTTCATCCTCTTGAGAAGATGTCCGATAGATCTCCATCTCCACCGGTCAACCACCGCGAAATGACTCTAGCAGAGAAGCGCAGGGTCCACTTGCACTTCTTCCGCTTGCGAGTCAATGCTGAAGTCGATGAGGTCCAACAATTCTTACACTCCGTTTTTAATGGCGAGGAAGAATCTGTTCTCATCGATCCGTTACTTTCCAAACCCTACTTCTTCTTTTCTCTCATTACCGACGTCGATGCCACCATTATTCCAGCCGGTACCACTTTTAATTTCGATGGTGTCTCGAGGCTTCTCGAGATTCGTGCTCGTAACGTCGAACTCACTAGACCATATTTAATTGTTGCTGAAAACGACGTTTGGGTTAATGCTATTCATTTGGTGTCGGGCTCAGTTATTTATTTTTCTGTTTACCTTCTTTATTTAAACTATCCCAACTATGTTGTTGAAGAGGAATTCATGGAAAACCTTGTTGAGAGTGTCGTCCATTCTCTGGACAGACGAAATCAGTAATGCTTCCTATTTTATGTTCTCCTAAATTTTTCTGATTCTCTCCCCATTATCATTAATCCCGTTTCAAAGCCTTTTCAATTAATTAAACTTCCTCGAGCTTGCAAAGCTGTAGTTCGAGCTCGAGCTGTAGTTTTTTTATTTAGTCACATCATCATTAAGTTTTTCTTTCAATCTTTCTAGATAGTTAGCTGCCCCCGAATATGTAAATGCGTGAACTTCTATTTGACTACTTCGACCAATGTGAGACGGACCTCGGTTATAGGCTATGCATGGCATGGCGTCGTAGACGGTCCCATCTGATCTCCCTGTGCCTCCTCGCCGAGTGAGAAATTTCAATTTTTCGAAATAGTTAAAAGAAGCTATCATATTTTGCATTTTCAGGATGGTTTCTAAAATTTCAAAAGGCTTTATAATCAACATCAGCAATTATTCTAATCACGTGTTTTCTAATTTTTGTTTTGTTTATTTGAAATGTCCCATTCGGACAATGAATTTCGAGCATTTAATCCTCTTTATATTCGAAGTTCAAAAAAAAAACAAAACAATGGCGAGAGAATTCAGATTACAACGACTAGATAGTCGATTGTAACTGTTTTCTAATCATGAATTGTTTTTTCTTTCAGTGGTGAGATCGTTTATCAAACGAATTTCGGATAAATTTGGAGCAAAGCTTCGAATTTACTCTTTGAAATTCGTATATAAAAATAATTGGCAAAAGTCGAACTAAAATTTTTTAAGATAATCATGAATGGAAAAAGTTTGGATTTATAGAAGTTAAAAATTTCTTATTCAGTCCTCGCTTTTATACATTAGTTATAAAATCGTTGATTATTATTAGAAGAATTTTGGATAAGTTTGAGGCAAAGCTTTGAATTTACTCCTTGAAATTCGTATATAAAAATAATTGACAAAAGTCGAACTATAATTTTTTAAGATTTACGGTAAGAAAGTTAAAATTTTTAGTAAATTACTCATAAGAAAACATCGTACTTTTATATATTAGTTTTATATAGTAGATTTATATTTGATTATAAAATAATTGGTAATTATTAAAAGAATTTTAGATAAATTTGAAGCAAAGCTTTGAATTTACTCTTTGAAATTCGTATATAAAAATAATTGACAAAAGTCTAAAATTTTTCTAAAATTTTTTAAGATAATCATGAATGGAAAAAGTTTGGATTTATAGAAGTTAAAAATTTCTTATTCAGTCTCGCTTTTATACATTAGTTATAAAATCGTTGATTATTATTAGAAGAATTTTGGATAAATTTGGGGCAAAGCTTTGAATTTACTCCTTGAAATTCGTATATTTTTGGAATAAAGCTAGTTTAAATTAGATTCCTTAAGTTTTACGGTAAGAAAGGTGAAATTTTTAGAAACATCGTAGAATTTTATAATTTTTTAAATTTTTTTTTTTGAAAAAGCCTTGAATGGAAGTAAAAGATTTCTTATTCAATTCTTACTTTATATATTAGTTTTACAGGGTCGGGCATAATTACCGGTAGAAGTTCAAATGGATGTATTTCAAAAAAAGTCAGAATAAGTTGAGATTCAACTAAAAGTTTATCTGGGTAGTAACAAACATATAAATACTAAAGTTGGTCAACTCGGCCACCTTTCTGCTTGATGACGGCTCGAAGACGTTTTGGGTAGGCATCCACCACCGCACGCAAGTATTCCACTGACATCTTGTCCCATTCCTCGACCAACTTCTTTTTTAAAACCTCAACACTTGAATGGGGTGTAGCACAGACCTTCTTTTGCAAAACTCCCCTGACATAGTAATTCAAATCCGGCGAAGAAGCTGGCCATTCGTCTGAAGCGATAATACTCGAAAAATTCACTCTGCACCACTCTTGAGTGAATTTAGCTTTGTGAGCAGGGGCATCATCTTGTTGGAACACCCACGGTTGGCCTTTGAAAATATCTCGGCTCCAAGGCAATACGTGATCCTTCAAAATGTCAACGTAGACTTCCTCGTTGATTTTAACGCCTTTTTCAACGAATACGAGCGGACACTTTCCCGCGGAGCATATAGCGCCAAATACCATCACACTGGCTGGATGGGAAGTAGTGTGAATGGTTCTGCCATTGTCAAAAGCTTCTTAGGAGGTCTTAGCAAGAACCCTGTGATTTTGGGAGTTGAATTCTTGCTCGACTATGAACAGATTCTCGTCGGAGAACATGGTAACCAAATGTTCGCCGACTCGCGTGCGCTCCACAAGAAGTTTTACCTTTTGAGGTATTTTTTGCTTATTGGCGGCAGAGAGAATAACTGCTTTTCGCACACGGTATGGGGTAAGACCCAATTTATCTTTGACAATCCTTGTCATCGATCTTCGGGACATTCCCATCTCATGAGCCATCGTTGAGAGGCTCCGATGAGCGTTTCGTCTCACTCGTTCCTTCACGGCTTTCACCTTAGTTGGAGTTGTAACAGAAACTTTTCTTCCTCTCCCAACCATGTCATCAAGTCCTCTAGTCTCCTGATAGCGGCGAATCGTCGAATAAACTGTGTTCGGATGATGTTTGAGGCGCTTGATGATTATGGGAATTTTGACTCCTTGATCGAATAGCGACCAAATAGTGACTCGATGGATACTAGCCTTTACCATTTGGCAGAAAATTAGTATTTTTGTCCGAAACTTGGAAAAACAATAGAAAACACATCAAACAACTGGAAAAAAATTGTGAGCGCTCAAAAAAACGCGACATCATGAGTCACCATGGCGCAAAAAAATTACCGGTAATTATGCCCGACCCTGTATATATAACATATTGATTATAAAATAATTGGTAATTATTAAATGAATTTTATATAAATTTGAAGCATATCTTTGAATTTACTCTTTGAAATTCGGATTTTATTATAACTGGTATAAATCAAGTTGAATTTAGAATCGTTATGAAAAATATTTATTGAAAATATTTTTAATACTATTTTTTTTAGGTATATTAGGGTTAGGTGGTAATTTATCTATTAGCTAGAAAATCATATCAGTAAAAAAAAACAAGTCTATTATTTTTTCAGACAAAATCGTTTTCGCCACGTTGTAAAACATCACTGGGGAAAGCCGACTATTTTCTTCTTTTGGATCATCAGATTTTATTCAGAAACCAAAAAGTTACCTACTTTTTGAACACTGAGAGTCGTGGGTTCGAGTCCCCTTTGCGCAAATTTTTTTTTTCGATTGTGAAAATTTAAGAAACGGTTCACATATCGAGTAGCCGATAAATATCGGAAAATTATAGACATTTAGACATTCTTAATTCTAAATAAATACTAGAAAAAAAACGATCAGATTTCCTTCAAAACAAAATTTATTAGTTGAAATAACAGGAGACAAAAATCAAAATCAACACGCTCGATGAAGTAAAAAACAACATGATACAGTAATAGACCATTTTAAAAACGATTCAAAAGTCGATTGGTGGCTCGCGGCAAATTGTTCGAGTCGGCGATGGTGGCGGCATGAGCGTTTTGTAGTACTCGTATAACGGAGTTGGGATCTTCTGAAATATTGAGAATTGTCTTAAAAACGACTCGTGCTGTACTCACCTCCTCATCGAATCCATGCTCCACTGCTCTTAGGAATTCAAACGGATATTTCGAGCAAAGCTTCTTTTCGAAAAGGCATTGCTCGCAGAATGCATGCACTTCAAACGCGTTTTCTTTTTCGAATTCTTCAATCTCCATTCGTGGCTTTCGATTTAGCAAAACTCCAAAATTCGCGATTTTATGATGCATCGCACATTCGGCGTTTTCATCGATGATGTCAATCATTGTCATGATATAATACTTGGCAAAAAATTCTTCGTTCTGAAATATATGGTCTTGAAATGACGATTGAATGATATCGTGTATTTTGGCCAAAAAAGGTTAATTGTTTTACAGAAATTCCAAACAAAGGTTTTCAGAATTTCCACAGATCATCTGTTTCGAAATATTGAACATTATTTGAACTAATTCGATAAAGATTTTTAAAATATGCAGAAACTTACGGTAATTGGCAATTTTGGCAGCTCGCGAGGCTTTATTTCGTCTCCAGAAGGAGAATAAATAGTAGTGTCCTCACTGATTCTTGTTTTACGCAGTGAATACGCTTCACGTCGCAGCGACGTCAGTTGAAGATCGCTCCAGCCTGCAATGTTGAGTTCATGCCGAGTTTCCCTATTGCGATGACTAACCATTCAATTTCTTTCCGGACAAATCCGTCCATACTTTCTGTAGAATTCTTTCATCGCGCTTCTGAAACGCATAAAAATCATGAAAATTCGAAAATTGTCGAAAACATACCGTTTTTATTGGTGTTAGGACAAACAAAAACTCTCGAAAATCCGGCGGAAGCCAGTCTTCTGGACGCGGGTCGTTTTCCTCGGTGCATCGGCGGCAAACCAATCGCATTCTCATCACTTTGGCGCGTTTGTGATTGATAACGAGAGCTCCAAGAATAGGAAGATGATGTTTTCCACATGATAGTTGTGTTTCAACCGATGCCGCGGCATACAAATTCCAAGTGAAATACACAAAATCCTGAAAGTCGACAATTATTAACTGCAAAAAACCACGTGTTTACCTTTTCGGCTTCTTCCTCGCCAACTTTGGCAAAAAATCGCTAAAATTAACAAATTTACGAAAAAAACAGTATTTAAATAATCTTACACATGCGAGATGACGCTTGATTTGAGAGCGAGTGGGTGACGTAGAAAATACGCGATGAGAAGACATTGGATCTGAAAAATAGAATGAAAATATCAATGAGAACAGTGGAAGCAAAATCAATCAATCGATAAAAACGATTTGATAGAAATATAATTTCAATATCAAAATTAATGAATTTTTTACGAAAAAAATGGCCAAAACGGAAAAATTTTGTGAAATCAAGGAGAAAATCGATTTTCAGCGGTTAAATTCTTCAGCTGTGCTACTCGGCATAACAAATATAATTAAAGGGTTTAATTCTCAATCGAATGGCAAAAAAATTTTCAAAAAAGGTGGAAATTTCGTTGATTTACGAATTTTTGAAATTTTCTTGGAAAAATTAAGAGAAAAAATGAATTTTTGTTGCAATCGCTCGTAGCTACAATGTGTCAGTGAAAAAAATTAATAGAACTCATTGATTTAAAATTTTTAATAAAAAAAAAACTAAAAATTGTTGAAAATTGACCTAATGCCGAATTTTTTAAGCTTTTGGCCTAAAGCGCAATTTTAATAGAGATTTTTCGCAGTGAAATTGACATCGGTGAAGTTTGCCGTCAATTTATAAATAATGATCACAAAATTTTGAGTGGAATAGAAAAAAAAACCATGAAAAACGATGAAGATTTCGAGGAGTAACGACGAAATTAAAAAAATAGGTAAAAATCAAAGAAACCAAGTGATAGAGGCTTGAGCTCACTCTTAAAGGACGCTCTGGGTTCTTGTAGCGAAAATGCGGCAGAGCGGGAATTCAAAATTCAAAATCTGAAATATCAAAAATGGCCAAAATTTCAAAATTCTCCGATTTGCATGAAAATTGGAGGGATTGTAGAGGGGCATGAGTGGAGACGATTTTTCGTGTTTTTGTGACTCACCGATCGTTGCAGGACCTGCTATGCGCCTTTAAATTTCCTAATCTAAAATGGTCTAAAATCGGTCAAAATGGAGCAATTTTGAAGCGGTTTTTTGCATTCTTGCTCAAATTTTGTCGAGAATTTGAATTTTGATCCACCGAACGAAATTAATATGCGGTACGGTAGGAAAAACTACAGTAATCCTACCGTATACCCGGATTTGACAAAATTTGTACTAAAACAATTAAAAATTCACTTTTTTGCCAAGCTATTTATTGTTTTTTCTATATGACAAATTCAAGAGTGATATATAATATTTTTTGTATTAGACAAGTGAAGACCCAATTAAGATGAAAACTGAAATTTTAATGGTCCGTTTGTAATTTTTCGATCAAAATAAAAGAAATGTAACATGTTACGGTACTTAAACTGTTCGCGACAGTCTACTCTATCCAAAAATAATTAGTGCATGTCGACTCAATACCTAAAATATGCATATTTCTAACTACAACGAGATTAAACTCAATTTTCGATGGTCAAATCCAAATAAGTCGAATATTTGAGTATTTTAAATTTTCCTTTAGGTCAGATCTATTCAGAAAAGACTCATCATCACTCTGGGGGGCGTCGACTGAGGGACTTGAGTTTATGGTCCCTATCTTTCTGTGCAATAGGAATGGTTGATTCGACTCTCGCGTGGACATTCTTTTTGCGACTATGAAAAAAAAACCGGTTTTTTTGTATTCTGGCACCAATTTTGTCTAAGAATTTCTCAGGTTATCACAAAAAACGTTTGGCTCTGGGCGGACTCGAACCCGCAACCCCTATTGTACAGCAAAGTAGGGACCAAAAAAACAAAAAGCCCCTCAGTCATCTCCCTTTCATATTCGCTCATCTCGTCAAGGCTGAAATCGCATAAAAGAATTCAAGTATTTTCAAAGTGGTGGTGAGCTATCTAAGAGCTCTAATTTTTTGATTTCTGAATAAAATCTGACGATCCAAAAGAAGAAAATAGTCAGAATTTGATGCTCTGCAACGTAGAATGATTTTGCTGGAATTAATCATTCGAAGCTCAATTTGACGTATTCCAATTATAATCCTCAATGAATTTAAAAGAGTAAATTCAAAACTTTGCCCTAAATTTATCTGGAATTCTCCAAATAATAACCAATTATTTCATAATAAATATATAAAAACGACATTTGGATAAGAAATCTCAGACTTCATTCATCTAAACTTTTTGTTCAATAAATAATGAAAACCACAAAAATGAACTTACCACTGAAAGAACAAAAAACAATTCATGACCAGAGAAGAGTTACAATCGACCATTTTGTCGTCGTAAGCTCTATTCCCTCGCCATTGTTTTGTTTTTTTTTTTGAATTTCGAATATAAAGAGGATTAAATGTTCGAAATTCATTGTCCGCATGGGACATTTTAAATAAACAAAACAAAATTTAGAAAACACGTGATTAGAATAATTGCTGATGATGATTATAAAGTCTTGTGAAATTTTTAGAAATAATCCCGAAAATGTAAACTATGATAGCTTCTTTTAACTATTTCGAAAAATTGAAATTTCTCACTCGGTGAGGAGACATAGGGAGATCAGATGGGACCGTCTACGACGCTATGCCATGCTTAGCCTATAACCGAGGTCCGTCTCACGTTGGTCGAAGTAGTTAAATAGAAGTTCACACATTTGCAAGATCGAGGAAGAAAATTAATTGAAAAGGCTTTGAAAGGATTACGGGATTAATGATAATGGGGAGAGAATCAGAAAAACTCACATTAGTCGAAGTAGTGAAAAAAGTTCAAAGTTCACATATTTACAAGTTCGGGGAAGCTAACTATCTAAAACGACTGAAAGAAAAACTTAATGATGAAGGAAATGGGAAGCATTACTAGTCTTACTAGTCATGAATTCTTCCTCAACAATATAATTGGGATCATCTAAATAAAGAAATTAAATGTAAATTCTTTTTAAGAAATGTGAAAGGAATATGTGTAGATATATATTTAGGGGGATTATTTACTAAATATTATGGGTAAATTGCAAAATAACAATGGAACAGAAGATTCACTCATGGAGCACGTTCACGACGGAGATGAGATGTTCTGAGAGCGTGTTCATGAATTCCTCAGGAACAACATAATTTGGATAGTTTAAGAAATGCGCATAAACAGAGAAAGAAATGAGTTCGTTAGCTACCATTTCAATATGATTAGTCCAAACAGATTGGTCAGCACGAATCGAAAATCTTCTGGAAAGCCTGATATTACGAGCACGAATATCTAGAAGAATCGAGACACCATATGAATCGAAGGTGGTGCCGAGACGAATAGTGGTGACGTCAACATCATTGATGCAAGCAAGAAAAAAGTATGGAATAGAAAGATACTGATCGATGAGAACAAATCTCTCTTCTCCATGAAACACGGAGTTTAAGAATTGTTTGACTTCATCGACTTCAGCATTGATTCGCAAGCGAAAGAAGTACAGAAAAACTGCGTGTTTCTCTTCAAGAGTCATTTCCCGTAGAGGGCTAAAGGCGAGGTTAATAGGTGGAGATGGCGGGCGATCGGACATTTTGCAAAAGTATGAAACAGATCGCTGCAAAGCTAAAAACACAACTGAATGAGAGGCAAAAGAAGACTATGCCACGCCCACAATTAGATGCGATGACTACAGTACACCAAACTTGTCTGCACCCTCCTTCCGGAACACGTTTGCTCTCCCTCTGAGACACCTTTGCCCTCTTACCGGGACACCGTCACCCTTATTCCGGAACACTCTCAATAACGGAAATTGACAGGACAAATCCTGCGTATTCCTTCGATACTACTGATTTTGAAAACAATAACTGTTAAACAATGACAGTAATTTTGTAAAACAATCCGAGAGATTTTTATGATAATGGTGTGATTGTCTCTAATAGTGGATACTGCTCAGAAAGAACTTATTTTTTAGTGGCCCAATATCCCGAGAATGTGAGAAATGTCTGAGGAATAAAAATATTGACAATTTCTTTTTCAAAACTCATTAAAAATTATTGTGGAATAACATTTGTTTCCGAATAATTTATTGCGTATCAATGTGAAAAACGAATTCAAAAGATGATCAAATCCAATGAATACCAGGAAACAAAATGAAACATAAATAAACAACAAGTGAATATAGATGATCAAAACATTTGCAAGAGAAAATGTGAGATTTGGATAAGTGATTAATTAGGGATTGGTTAAGTGAGTGGTAACAGTTGGTTATTGGATTTGATTACAATATGTCTAACAAGATATACATGAGAAAACAAAGTAACAAAAAAGAAAACATTTTCACAAAAAAAAAAACAAAAAGCTTGAGTCATGGCTCGTAGAACTGGGCTAACAGTGGCAAATATGATCGGAAAGATTAGTGGGGCGTTTAAGAGCTTTCCTGAAATTTCATTTAGTAATATTCAGATATAAAATCACAATTACTTGGCTGTTCTTGCTTCGCTTGGCGTCGTTTCCTTGAACTTCGTCAGAAACACATTCCGACTTACGACGAATTCTGGACGATGAAGCCGATTCAGTTGACGACGATGGATGAGCCCCATCGGACGAACCCGACTCAGCGATGGACGAAGGTGGACGAGCTCCATCACGCTGACTTTCTTGACTAGTGCTTTCGGTGGTTGGAGCAGAGCGTTCTTCAGTACTAGCTGAGGCACGATCACTAGCCTATAAAGCAGTCTTAATATAAAAACCATTAAAATAAATTACTGTGGTATTAGTGGCTGGAGGTGTCAGAAACTCCGAGCCAGTGAGGAACAATGACTCCAGGTATTCGGCCATATTTTCACTCATTTCGTGGATTTATGCCATGGAGATCCCTCTCAAATTTTCCATCACAACGCGGAAATCCTTGTACACCTGAAACAGTAATCTGGAATAAAGTAACATATGATTGGTTTCTCACCCCATTGCGGATGATCTCAAACTGGATTTCGACAGACTCATCTCTGAAATGTAACAATGTATTCAACGAGATTTTAAGTCATTTTAAAAACTTACCTCGCATCATTGTCGGCTTCTTCTGGTTGACCTCCGGCCTCGTTTTCCACTATAAGTGCATTTTCTTCAAATTCTTCAACTTCCTCGAAATCGACAGCTTCTCGCACTGGACTTGGCTCTCGAATAGTTTGTGTTGAAGCATCAACTTTATTCTTCACAGAGTGTGTTGTATTTGCTGGATCAGCCAAAAAGTTTTTCAGGAGGTTGTTGATCTGATCTTGTAGTCTGTTCATTGCCTCTTCGCTCAAAGTTGGGTTATTAGATGGAAAGTCTACAACGACTCTTGCAACAGCCTGAATTAAATAGTAACTTCACATCAAAAACGGGTTTTTAATCGTACCTGCTCAGCTCCTTCAATAACCTGCGGTCTTTCTACGATCAGCCGATTGGATGGTCTGAATATTGTAATTAATCTTCAAGTTTGAACAAGATTTTTTCAATTCATTTACCTGTTTTCATTATGGCTGGCGGAATGTGATTGGAGGTCGCATTGAACAGAAGAATCTACCGAAGTATTATTATGATTCGTATTCATCTTGATTACTGAAATGTTGACGCTTTCAAAATACGAATGGAGAGAGAAATTTGAAAGAAGAGAAATTCGAAAGAAGAGAAATTACAAGAATAGAAATGAAAATAAAATCATGGCAAACGACGACAATATTCGAAAAAACCGCGACGCGGCACGCGTTGCGCGTGTTTCTGGAGTATGCTGAGTTGGCAGAGTACACTATAGCGTACTTTTAAGTGTTTCAAATGTACAGAGACTAGTTGCTATGAATATACAAAACGGAAATTTTTCAAAAGAAAAATAAAATATCACATAATAGAAAAGAAACTCACAATCTAAAAACACTTCATCACATTTTAAATGTGCGTAATTATCAGATACGCAAAAATGTGCTAAAATTTGCAAAAAATCGGATGCATACTAATTTCAAAGTTTCCCACATGGCTTCATTCCTCGACATCACAATTTAATATCTGAAGCACATTTTCGACAGTTTAAAATTGATAAACTATTATTAAATTGTACCGCCAAAGCCATACGCCACCAAAGCCACCTACGCACACAGTGTAACCTTTATATTGCATGTGTGCCCCTATAAAAGGGAGCCCCAACGCCCATTTTTTAACTTTTCTTTCCATTCGTTGGTTGTTGTTCAACTTATGTCTAATTTATGTTCAATTTATGTTTAACTTATTTCTTTACAATTAATGTTTAATTACCCAAGTTTGAGGTCTTCCATCCCCGATGGTTGATAAATTTGGTGCATCGACCGGGAATCGAACCCGGGCCGCCCGCGTGGCAGGGGAGATTTTTTTTTACTTACATCAAATAAAATATTCCTTAAAATTTGTTAATACTGATTTGAAAGAGATTGAAAAAAATACTATTACATGAGCAGGTACGATTAAAACCCCCTGAATGGAAAACATATATATATATAATTAGAGATCAGTTAAAATCGACTACTTGTACAATAAAAATTTGCAACCCCAACCCGATTCAAGAGTAAATTCGAAGCTTTGCTCCAAATTTATCCGAAATTCTCCACATAATAACCAAACTAATTTATATTTACTATATAATGCGAGCACTGAAAGAAAGTATTTTTTTAAGTTAAAACTGAAAAATTCATGGCTATAAAAATTTCAGTTCAACTTTTGCCAATTATTTTTATATACGAATTTCAAAGAGTAAATTTGAAGCTTTGCTCCAAATTTATCCGAAATTCTCCAGATAATAACCAAACTAATTTATAATTACTATATAATGCGAGCACTGAAAGAAAGTATTTTTTAAAGTTAAAACTGAAAAAATTCATGACTATAAAAATTTCAGTTCAACTTTTGCCAATTATTTTTATAAACGAATTTCAAAGATTAAATTCGAAGCTTTGCCCCAAATTTATCCGAATTTCGTCTGATAATAACAGTTTATTAAATTACGATGAAAAAGTTGCCGGAGTAAATGTAAAAGCTTTGCCTTTAATTTATCCCAACTTTTTTAAATAATAAATTAATTTTTCTGAAATTCTTTTAACAATAACCCATTTTTAATGATTAGAAAAACGAGAGTTACTTCCATTCATCCCAAATTTTAACAAACTTACCCCTGAAAGAAAAAAACAATTCATGATTAGAGAACAGTTACAATCGTCTATCTGGCCGTTGTAAGCTGAATTCCCTCGCCATTGTTTTGTTTTTTTTTAAATTTCGATTATAAAGAGGATTAAATGTTCGAAATTCATTGTCCGAATGGGACATTTCAAATAAACAAAACAAAATTTAGAAAACACGTGACTAGAATAATTGCTAATGTTGATTATAAAGCCTTGTGAAAATTTAGAAACCATCCCGAAAATGCAAAAGATGATTGCTTCTCCTAACTACTTCGAAAAATTGAAATTTCTCACTCGGCGAGGAGGCACAGGGAGACCAGATGGGACCGTCTACGACGCTATGCCATGCTTAGCCTATAACCGAGGTCCATTTCACATTGGTCGACGTAGTTAAAATGAAGTTCACACATTTGCAAGCTCGTTAAAAAGAAGTTCACACATTTGCAAGAAGAAAATTAATTGAAAAGGCTTTGAAACGGGATTAATGATAATGGGCAGAGAATCAGAAAAATTTAGGAGAACATGAAATAGGAAGCATTACTGATTTCGTCTGTCCAGAGAATGGACGACACTCTCAACAAGGTTTTCCATGAATTCCTCTTCAACAACATAGTTGGGATAGTTTAAATAAAGAAGGTAAACAGAAAAATAAATAACTGAGCCCGACACCAAATGAATAGCATTAACCCAAACGTCGTTTTCAGCAACAATTAAATATGGTCTAGTGAGTTCGACGTTACGAGCACGAATCTCGAGAAGCCTCGAGACACCATCGAAATTAAAAGTGGTACCGGCTGGAATAATGGTGGCATCGACGTCGGTAATGAGAGAAAAGAAGAAGTAGGGTTTGGAAAGTAACGGATCGATGAGAACAGATTCTTCCTCGCCATTAAAAACGGAGTGTAAGAATTGTTGGACCTCATCGACTTCAGCATTGACTCGCAAGCGGAGGAAGTGCAAGTGGACCCTGCGCTTCTCTGCTAGAGTCATTTCGCGGTGGTTGACCGGTGGAGATGGAGATCTATCGGACATCTTCACAAGAGGATGAAATGGATTGGTGCTGATAGTAGCTAAAATGCAACTGAATGAGAGGTGGTAGCTCGAGTGGGATATAAAAGTGGGCGGAGCTCAAGTGACAAAAGTAGGAGGAGTCGGTGCCACGCCCACAATTCGAGGTCAGGACTACAGTACACCAAACTCTTTCAAAAAAAGTATCGTTGGATACTCAGGAATTATGATATTGAGATTAATCTTCTGTTGAAAAATAGGAAATGCAGAGAAAAATTGTAAGTGCTAAACAAAATTTATATTGTTAATATATAATATAAGAATTTTTTGAAAAGTGAAATCCAACCCGCCTGTCTCAAATATAATATGGGCCGTTTTTGTAATTCCAGTCGTTTTTTTTAATATTCACAAGACGTTGTAAAAATTCTGTTTCGAACTATTTTTATGTGAATTTAAACGTAGTCGACTTTTTTCGAAATAGTTGAGATAATTTATTAAATATTGATTGATTGGCTAAGTGATCAAAATGAAAATGAGAGTTGATTATCTGGGATTTCTCATAAATTCTCTAGGAAATTACACATTGAACAAAAATAACAATGAAAGAAGCAAAGCTCATCGGGTGGTAGGTAACCACTTCCCGAATTGCGTAACAAGAAAAAAGGAAGAAATCAGCGCATGGTCGTGTTCAGATTTCTGAAACAAATATTCGAGATAAAAAAAGTTGAATGATAAATTGTTTAAACATTTCTATTACCATCTAATGGTTAGGAAACAAGAACTTGATACAAAAGAAAGAACAAAGAAACAGAAAAAAGAACAAATCAAGCATAAAATTAAATACATTGTTGAAATGTGGAGGGTGGGCCTCTATGATTCACAAAAAGTCAAGCTGGTAGAAGTGCTTGGAGCTACGAGCATGAAGGCGAGAGCCGTCTTCTAGTGTGTCTACTGAAAATCATTGTTTCAAAAGACAATCATCATTTCTTTCAAATTCCCACCTGTCCCTCCTTTTTTCTCTTAGCATTCTTCTCGTCGTCATTGGAATTTCTTCCGCGTTTTGGCGTTTTCTGAGCCTGTGCAGATGTGGATGGCTCCTGTTGGGGAAATGTCGGATTCGACTTTCTTGTTTTCAGGGCTTCATTTGCCTTGTCCTTGGCCTGAAATTATTATCCCATGTGAAATGCTACTGAAAAAAATGTAATACCGCTCGAGGAATGCTTTTTCTCTTTTGCAACACTGGGGAAGCCATATTAGGGCCGCTTTCGTGAGCATTTCCATCGTCCATCGGTGTTGGAACATTAGCTTGAGATGACGTCGGTGCTTGCTCCATTTTTGTCTGAAATTTAATTAGGCATAACTCAAATAATATTATCGAGAAAATATTGTCGTAAATGAATACTTACCGATTGTCGGCGGAACAAATTGCTAACGCGCTTTGCCTGTAAGAGATGTTTGAATTTAGCATTAAAAAAATAAAATGATACCGCTTCTTTCAAGAAGTGTGGTGCGTCGGATTCGGCACGAACGCGGTGTGGCTCAGGAGAGTTGTTTTGTGGCTGGTTTGGAGCGAGCGAGGAAGAGCGGCGGAAACGCTTGAACTGAAACAATTATTATTTCACCACTATTCTTTTAAAAATATGCCTACAAAGCTTTGTCGCTTTCTTCTTCGTGGTTCATTGGCTCCACCGCGATTTGGTGTCGACGACCGACGGTTTTCCGGCGCTTCTCTTAGCGAGTTGGGAACTGGCTGCGGAGGAATGACCTGCAATTGGAAATATTTTCTCTGAAAAAATGAAGTATGTTCCTACAACGGCGGCTCCAGTGAGGCTATCATTCGGCAACACCATGGTTTGCACTTGTGGGAGCACAGAAGATGGCGGTACGTCGAGGGCCATGTTCACTCGCTGATGAGTCGATACGGAATCCATCGAAGTGCTTCCTGGAGCCACTCGAAAAGTTGTAGTTGCCGTCGACATTTCCTGAAAAGTTAGAATGCTTTATTGTTATTAATACTAACTTTAGATCAAGACAGCTTCATAAATTCAAAAAAAGCTCACAGATGGAGTTGGAGATCTTCTTCTTCCCAAGTGCGACGGAGCTGGCTCTTCAATAGGCACCAAGCTGTGAATTTTTTCAACAAGTGAATCCATCTCTGCCATCGGAGTTGTTTGAGTAGTTGTACGGTAGGAAATGGTAGTGGCTGACACCGGCTGGCGGAGTTGGCTGGTCGACTCCGTGGCTCTAGTGGGTGTCATTGTGGTTGGAGAAGGGATTCTGAAATACTGGATAATTATTCAATTTTTAGAAACATTAATTGTTACCTCGTTGACTCATGGGAAAAGGAAGGTCTTAATTGGAAATTCTGAAAGTCTTCCACCGGTCTTGAGCCTCTAGTCATTGTCACTGAACTAGGAAATACTGTTGCCGAGTTGGCAGCTGGGGCGGGATTCTGAGGATGTATTGGCTGTCGAACTCTTCCAGACAAGATACTGAACGTATCCGCATTTTCGGGGCTGGGTGAACGGGATCTAAATTGTTTTTATTCATTTTCAAAAATAATTGAAAATTTTTACACCTTTCTTGGTCGTGTGCCGGTGGGTTTTGATCTTGCTGAGAACGGCGCGGATCCATGTTCAACTTTGTGAGAAGTGGATATCTGAATAATGAGATGTGTCAATGAAAATAACAGTTTAGACGTATAAAACGAAGGAAAAAGCACATTTGCACAATCGCAATGAAAGAAAAGTAAAAAACAACGAGATAACAAGAAAACCCGAGCAAGTCGCAAATGAGACTGCGGCGCCGCTAATATTACGCGTGTTGCCGGAGTACAATAGCGCGCACTTGAAAGCAATCGCAGTGGGAGTATTGTAAAGCGGAAACGAAATACCAAGACTGAGGAATGATCCAACTTAGCTCCCCTTTTATAGTCGATGGGCGGAGTCAAGCTACAGCAGCATTGCAATTTCGCTCCATTGATGATCATTCTTCATTGTTGTAAATAATACCCGTGTATATGCAATATTTGAATGCAGTCAAAGAATTTCTTCTTAATTTTGCCCACTCTCTCGCAGACCTTATGTAGGATTATCACCAGTTGTTCCAATATTGCTGCAAGGACCATCTTTGATCTAAATTCGCCGAGTAATGCGAATTTCACATGAATATCACGTGAACTGTGTTAAATTATTAATTACTAAATTGAAAAAAAAATTCAAATCTTGTATAGTTGGAATTTCTAACGTCGTTCGATTTGAAAATTATCGAACCGTCCCATAAAATGCGAAATAACCTGCTAGCCCCTACAAGAGTTTTTACAAAAAAAAACGCCTTGTGAAAATTAAGAAAAAAATGAAATTTGAAGACCAAAGAAAGGCCCAAAGTGAAGCCCTACCTCAATCTTGATTTATACGTCGTTAAGCATAGCCTGTATAGTATCGAAGAATCAGTTAAACATAGTTATCTCGTTTGACGTGTTGTGAATCAATTAAATTCCCGACAATTATATTTTGCACATCAAACTTTATTCTCGCACTCGTGCATGTCTAGCTATATACAACTAGGTACACCTCTTCGCTTTGTAATTTCTATAGCCAACACAAGGGGCGAGGCCTCCTTACAAGGGAAGTCATTTTACCTCCCGTCTTTTTTCTTCGCATAATTTCATGTAAAAGTGTCGTTTCAACATTATTTATTATTTTTTTTGCATTTTACAGTTTTTCGTTTTTTTCAAAAATTTCCTGAAATCTATTATTTTCCACTTTATTGTTTGGTTCTTGGAGTGGATGGAAAGGAATGGATGGACTGCAAGGACACAAATACAACTCCAACCTTTCGAAGGTTCTATTCCAACTGGATATACGGGATTCGCGAAATCACTCGATGTTGGAGTGTTCGGAGGGTCCAAAAAAGTTATCAAATCCATCGGAGAATACGCCCACTTTTGGCAACATTCATTCAAGGTCCACAAGCGAAAGTCGATTCTTTTGGTAAAAACCAGTAATGAAAATGTTATAACATTATTTTCTTACACATTCTTTATGTCGTGTACAGGAAATTGTGTTCTCCGAAATTTCAAGATTGGATCAAGCATACATAGTTGGGCTGCGAGTTGATATAATGTTTCACGGCCTCCACCATTCCTCACTCCAGCGCAGAAACTCTTTTCGAGAGACGTTGCCAGAGAATGCCAAACGCCAGAATGTAGCAATATATTTGATTGTATTTTGAGAAATTCTTTTGTTTCGAACTCATGATTATTAACAATCACATGAACTGTTGGTTGCCTGGCCCGCTACTGACCTGGTGTTGCAAAATAAACTCCGAAAAAGAGTAAATTGTTAAATATGTTAAAAAATGAAATTATGCGTTTGAACGATCAGAAGTGAGTTTTTCGACATCCAATTCGACATCCACTCCAAGAAACAAACAATAAAGTGGAAAATAATAGAGTTCAGGAAATTTTTGAAAAAAAAACGAAAAACTGTAAAATGCAAAAAAAAAATAATAAATAATGTTGAAACGACACTTTTACATGAAATTATGCGTTTGAAACCAATTTGCAGCGGAATTTTCTGTGGCAAAAAGAAAAAAAGCAAAAATGCGTGAGCCGGGTGCGAACCTTCATCATAAAGTCACTGCCCCGCACACATACCACTTCACTTCACCTGGATGCCAAATCGGGGCCCCAAGAGGCGTATGCGTAACCCCTTGCCCAAATGGTTGCTGACAATGGAAAAACACCTTGAATTTTCAGACGGCCATAACTCGCCTGTAACCCCCCAGTGCAGGCTGGAATTTTGTGAGCACACTCAAAATATCTTCTAGTTTACGTGGGCAAAATTACAAAAAATCCTAAGACGGGAGGTAAAATGACTTCCCTTGTTAGGTTAAAAAAAATGTGTGTACATGCAATAGGCAACTTAGTACGTTATTTAAATATTTTCTGCAAGTATATATTTTTATCAATGATTCTTCGTGTTGCCCAGCTGTTCCAGAAACGTCATGTTATTCGCCTCAATCTCTTAATTTTACTTAGAGCTGTCCCGACAGGAGGGAGCGGAAAGTATAGGCGGGCCATAGTCTACGCAAGTGAAACTCCGCCTACCTTCGTCACATAGACTCCGCCCATATTTACAACCAATTGGGCCACCCCACACTTCATTCAGTTGCACTTGATAGTCGCTATCTTAATCATATTTCTCCTCTAGTGAAGATGTCCGATCGACCATCATCTCCCATCATCAGTATCGCCTGCGTTGCGCACCGTAAGATGACCGCAGATGAGAAACGCAAGGTGTTTTTATATTTCTTTCGTTTGTGTCCATCCTAATGTGAATGAGGTGAGACAATTCTTGAACTGCGTGTTTCACGGAGAAGAGAGATTTGTTTTCATCGATCCTAAACTCTCTGTCCCCTACTTCTTTTTTCCTTCCATCAAAGACGTGGACGTGTCTAGTATTAGCGATGGAGGCACCTTCGATTCTGTTGGCGTCAACACGCTCCTCGAGCTTCGTGATAAGAATATCAGCCTTTCGAAGACATACTTACATGCGTTACATAAGACATACGTTTCTTTTCTATTACGTGAAATTTTATTTTTCTTTTGAAAAAGTTCCCTATATATATTCATAGCGACAATTGCCTAATCAACTAGTCTCTGCACATTTGAAACACTTTAAAGTACGCTATAGTGTACTCTGCCAACCCAGCATACTCCAGAAACACGCGCAACGCGTGCCGCGTCGCGGTTTTTCGAATATTGTCGTCGTTTGCCATCATTTTATTTTCATTTCTATTCTTGAAATTTCTCTTCTTTCAAATTTCTCTCTCCTTTCTTTTTTTCTTAATTTTAAAGTGTCAACATTTCAGTAATCAAGATGAATACGAATCATAATAATACTTCGGTAGATTCTTCTGTTCAATGCGACCTCCAATCACATTCCGCCAGCCCTAATGAAAACAGGTAAATGAATTGAAAAAATCTTGTTCAAACTTGGAGATTAATTACAATATTCAGACCATCCAATCGGCTGATTGTAGAAAGATCGCAGGGTATTGAAGGAGCTGAGCAGGTACGATTAAAAACCCGTTTACGAGATGACGTTACTATTTAATTCAGGCTGTTGCAAGAGTCACTGTAGACTTTCCATCTAATAACCCAACTTTGAGCGAAGAGGCAATGAACAGACTACAAGATCAGATCAACAACCTCCTGAAAAACTTTTTGGCTGATCCAGCAAATACAACACAGTCTGTGAAGAATAAAGTTGATGCTTCAACACAAACTATTCGAGAGCCAAGTCCAGTGCGAGAAGCTGTCGATTTCGAGGAAGTTGAAGAATTTGAAGAAAATGCACTTATAGTGGAAAACGAGGCCGGAGGTGAACCAGAAGAAGCCGACAATGATGCGAGGTAAGTTTTTAAAATGACTTAAAATCTCGTTGAATACATTGTTACATTTCAGAGATGAGTCTGTCGAAATCCAGTTTGAGATCATCCGCAATGGGGTGAGAAACCAATCATATGTTACTTTATTCCAGATTACTGTTTCAGGTGTACAAGGATTTCCGCGTTGTGATGGAAAATTTGAGAGGGATCTCCATGGCGGAAATCCACGAAATGAGTGAAAATATAGCCGAATACCTGGAGTCATTGTTCCTCACTGGCTCGGAGTTTCTGACACCTCCAGCCACTAATACCACAGTAATTTATTTTAATGGTTTTTATATTAAGACTGCTTTATAGGCTAGTGATCGTGCCTCAGCTAGTACTGAAGAACGCTCTGCTCCAACCACCGAAAGCACTAGTCAAGAAAGTCAGCGTGATGGAGCTCGTCCACCTTCGTTCATCGCTGAGTCGGGTTCGTCCGATGGGGCTCATCCATCGTCGTCAACTGAATCGGCTTCATCGTCCAGAATTCGTCGTAAGTCGGAATCGGTTTCTGACGAAGTTGAAGGAAACGACGCCAAGCGAAGCAAGAAAAACCAAGTAATTATTATTTAATATCTATCATTTAATCAACTGATTTTTTCAGGAAACCCCCTAAACGCCTCTAAGTATCACATTGAGATCATATTTGCCGCTGTTAGCCCAACATTATGCACCTTGAATCAAGTTATGATTTTTGATCGTGAAACATTTTTTTGTAAAAATGTGTTCTTTTTTGTTGCTTTGTTTTTCTTGTATATTTTTTTAGAGATTTTTGAATCAAATTCAATGATTTTTACCAATTGTTACATACAATTTAACAATTCCCAAATTAATCACTTAGCCAAATCTTATATATTCTCTTGCAAATGTTTCAATCACCTATATTCACTTGTTGTTTATTTCTGTTTCATTTTGTTTCCAGATGTGAGTTCTGTAAAATTTATGTTTGGACTAGTTTCTCACATAGATTCTCAATAAATTATTCGGAAACAAATTGAGTTTTCCAGTTAATTCAAGTTCAAGATTAGTTAAATTATATTAAAATAGTACGGAAAAGAGTCGTTTGTATTTTAATTCATTAGACTTGTTCGCATTCTAGGACATTCAGCCACAAGTAAAGTTGCTCGATTATGTGACCAGAGTGCTTAATTATTTCAATAGTCTGAGGCGGTGCTCATTCTTGAATACATTCGAAAACCACATCTCGAAATATACAAGCACAAATTCAACTCCCTGCATCGATCCCGTCTGCTGACGTTGTCGGGATATGTCCTACACGATTCCGGTGCATGCATCATGTTTGTCCTGACGCAGAATGGGCATGGCTGCGGTTCTCTGCCAGTTGCTCTCGGTCCTTGACCATGTCGTCGCTGCTGCTCGCCGTCTCCTCGATGGTGACTGCGATGATGCTGTGCCGAATCTTGATGTTGCGTTGCCATGGTGGTCACTCGATCTTCCGCTCGATCGTTCACAATAGCCGACATCAAGTTCTCCGTTTGCGAGATGTCGCAAATCATCTCCAAAAGCCGTTCCGCATCCGGTGGTTGACTGCGCGGGTTTGCGTACAACATTTGAATGATTCTCTTGGGGAGCTTTGCCTCAATAAGAGATGCCGTTGTCATATTGTTCATATTGCATCCAAATGAGACCAGCTGCCGAATCGTGCTCACCTCGAAAAAATATGTTCGATAACAATAACAGTAACAGCAACTGCCCCGAGCGACCCCTTTATATATGCTGACGTTTTAATGTGCCAGACAGCTTAATTGGGCAAAAGGAAAAATACTGTTATGATGTCATGGGACAACAGATAAAAATTGTTATGATGCCTAAGGAAACAAAAACGGTGTGACGTCATTTATCATAGTTCGCGACGTCGCCATTCGCGGCGCCATGTGTGTCGTCGCGACACCAAGTGAATTTCAGCCGTTAGTGGTTCAATCGAGCGGAAACTTGGCTATACGTTTTTGGCGGGTCTGAAAACTCTAAAACCACTCAAATTTACCTTATTAGAGCAATAGCGTCACTCATTAGACCATTTTTAGACATAATATTGTTGATTTTTCGTGACAACGCCAAGTGAATTTCAGCCGGTTGTGGTTCAATTGAGCTGAAACTTGGCTAGAAATTTTTGGCGGGTCTGAAAACTCTGAAACCACTCAAATTTACTTTATTAGAGCAATATCGTTCCTTATTAGACCATTTTAAACCTAAAATTATTGATTTTTCGATTTTCCTCTTTTTCCTCGATCTTTTCAACTCTTAACAAAATTCAATAAATTTTGATTTGAATTTTCCGCGTGTCATGAATGTAACTTTTTGTACGAGTAGTATGCCCGTTACGACTACGGCCGCCATTAATGTTAGTCTAAAAGTCTACACTCCCATTTTGTTTGTAGTTACGCTATTGGATATCTCAATCTGATATTCTATCACTACTATTTCCTAAATATTTCGGCTGTATCTAGTTGATTATTGCATTTATTTTTCTTCGAATTTTTTATGAAATAATTCAATTTGTGATTAGCACTTAAAAATGACTCATTTGCTTGGCTAATTTGATTTTATATTTAATCTGTGTTAATCCTAATGATAATCATTATTCGAATTATATAAGTTTTGATAAAAAATAATCTCGATTTCTGAAAATTTACCTTGTATCTGGATTAGTAAGACCTAGAAAACCAAACGTACCGGAAGGCGCCCAGAATGAATACACTTTCAATCTTCCAAACTCTGATACACATTTCGCGCGTTGCCACAAACAAACTGTACAATATCTTTAGACATCATAGGAAATATGAAAATAAACGAAATTGTAATCTTTGCGGACTATGTCTTTTACTTGTCAAAATTACACAAGGTTTTACACGCGATCGTCATTCATATAACGATTTTGTTTTTTTTCATTTGCTATCGATATGATTTTTACAATTTATGAATTTATCTCTCATTCAATGTGCTAGTTGAATACATTATGTACAAATTTGTATTTAAGAATGGTGTTGTATATCGTCCGGTGGAGCATTCAGTTACTCTACTAATTTTGGCACAGCTCACATTACTTTTTCAGTCATGGTCGGGTGTTGGCACCGAATGAGTTGATCCTGCAATTAGTGCAACAACTGGTACCCGAACGCGTCAGTTACATGTTGTTTCCCTGTTTGTGGATGTCCGCAACACTAATATAATTTTTTTCTTAAATAAATTGTTATTATTTTCGACATGGTTGTTATATTTTGCTGAGATATAAATTGTAAAAAACAAATATAGCCTGCTTCTGTGAGTTTTTCGCAGTTGGTCAGATTTCAGACAAGCGCAAAAAAAGTTGACCGGTTCTGCGGAAAAAAACAGTTGGTTTTAGCATGACGAGAGTAAATTGTGAAACATTCGGAAATCATGTATTGAAAACTTTTTTTGAGTAGTGTGGCCGTTACGGTCACGGCCATCACCGACGTTCGTCTAACAGTCTACACTCTCCTTTTTTTTAATCTGATCGTCTATCACAACTATTTCCTAAATTTTTTGATTGCATCTAGCTGATAATTGTATTAATTTTTCTCGATTTTTTAATGAAAAAATTTATCGAAAACTCAATTCGAGGCTAGCTCTTAAAAAAAAATGCCTGATTTGCAATTCTATTTCGATATAAGATTTCTGTTTTAATCCTAATAATAATCTTTATTCGAATTATATATTTTTTGTAAAAAATAATTTCGAATTCTAAAAATTCAACGTAATTCTGGAATAGTATCATCTAGAAAAGAAATGTCTCGAAAGACTCCCAGAACGAACACACAGTTGCAACTATAATTATTGAGAATTTCTTCACTTTACAAAATAGGTCATTAATGACTATCACGGTTAAAATGATGTGATGTATTTTCATTCAAATCCATTCTCTCGGTGTTGTGTTTCGTGACAATTTTTTTGCACAATCACGAGCACGCGGGTTACAAATTTCAACGTCGGTCCCCTAACCCACAAAAAAAACGATGTAACCAGGTTTATGTAACCAGGGTTTTTAGTTGGCTGTTGATTTTCCGTGGAACCTGATTTTTAGTTAAACTCCTCTAAGACACGAAAGGCATTAATAAAGATCCAATATCTGGGTCCGAAAGGTATGTTCTCTTATGGTCAACTGAACGGCAACAATGCATGGTACTTCGTAAAATCTCTCCGCTCTTCTCGATTCGATTGAAAAATGCATTTTCTTCGTCATCACCGGATGAGCGCTGTGCATAAGATTAAAAGAGTGACCTTTTTTCTGGGCTCTGAATGATTTTGGTAAATGCAAATCTTATTATTTTCTAAAATGCTTGCTGAAACAAAACGTTTAAAAGGCAGGGTGCCTCTTGGAGGTGCAATTTTTTTTAAATATTATTATGCTGAAAAAATGAATTCGGGCTAAGCGTATTTCCTGCTCACATATTAGTCGTATCCGTTTGTGTCTGTGTGTTTGTGTGTGTTCGACACGCCCATTTTATGCGCTCGGCTCCTCCTCCAAGATGCGATTAGCGTCAACGGAACTCACTCCCATCACTCAGTTTTACCTCATTCTTGGCGTTCGTCGAAAGAATGCGAGCTGTACTAGTTTTCCTCCTTGCATTCGCACTTTTCATATCCACAATTCAATCGAAGCCGTTTGAAAAACGATGTGGTGCGAAACTCTATAGCTCGTTGAAAACACTATGCCTAACAGGATTGAAACCTGTCGGTATGTTTTTTCAGAATTATTAGCGTATTTAGCAGTCAAGTTATTCTATATCAACAGTGCAAAAAAGAGTGTTCAATATCATAGTACTTATCACGGATAGACAGATCGCAAGACTTATAAGTAAGAACCGAACAGTACCAGGAGGCACGATTTAAAACTGTGTTGTTCATTTTGAAAAAAAATATAATTAGTCGACCTTGAGAAACGTATTCGCAGCGCCGCGAACACACATAGGAAAGTGGGAAGAACAAACAGATACGTTCAAATTTAATACAATTGGGAAAACCGTTGAGTGAGAGTTTAATTCATAAAATTCTTATAATTTCGGTATTCCTTTACGAGCATTTACCTAATATTAAATAATCATTTTTGTTTCAGAGGGAAGTGCCAATGATATGTGCTGCACGAAACACTGTTCGCTGGCCGATATGAAGCGTTTATTTTGTGAAACTGAGCCTCCGGTTTCTAACTAGCTTCACATTGCGCCGACTGGAATGAAAGACGCCGAAGCTTGAAACTCGATCAAATCGCGTCATTGTAATTATCGCCCCCTCCCCCCCCTCTCTCTTTTTATAATTAGCAAATTTTTGTTTAGGAGAATTTTTAACAAATTGCTATAATTACGGTCCGGATACTCACGGTCATATTTGTTAAGTTCAATTTGTTACATATGCTGTATTTTCCCTGAGTAAAATAAATTATTGAACTGAGACTAGTTTAAATAAATGTACGTCAAGACAACCTACACACTGATCACCTTTTCACATTTGTTAAGCTAGGTCAATTAACACCTAATAGAAAATTGTGTGTCAAACAGCCTTAATTTCATGAACAACGTCATTAGAGTACAATTGACTACATAACAATTTTTAACGTCATGAGGTTTAAAAAAAAAATCCATGAAAACCTCCATAAATAATTTTTTATACACACAGCAGTGTGCATCAAATGAGCCTTTGGACCTGCATAAATTTGCAGCTTCACTCTCAAAAAGCTTGCGAGTAAATATACCGTTATTCCACTTTTCAGACTAGCACAAATTGTTCAAACATTCACTCTATTTCTATTATATTGACATTCGAGCAAAACGGTTTAAGGCAACTTGGTAAACATTTCGCGCTAATTAGTGGCTTTAAACTGGTATTTTTGACACAATCATTCGCTAACAAAAATTCAAAAGTGCAAAATGTATGGAATAGATAAATCTGCCGTTGTCTTAATAGTGGCAATAGTGTGATAAGAATCTAATATTATTACACTACTGTTTATTTTGCAAAATTTGCTCTATCTTTCTTTAAATTTTAATGCATTATATCGAAATTTCAATAAGAACAACAATTTATTAACATTGATTTATTAATAGGTAATAAACATGTAACCAAGAATGCATTTATTCACATCGCATGTGCCGATCATTTTGTAAATGATGTGTTGAAAGTTCAGCACATTTGAAATGTTTTAATATCTCTCTGTTGCCATCATATACGACGTTAACTATCTTTGCAAAACTTTTTTTGCATAGTTTCATAGGTGCATGGATTCAAGCAGCAAAATTCCGATGCTTTTACATCTGTGAAAAAAAACAAATTTTGTTTGAATCTGTCCATGTTTATCTTACCTACAATGTGAAAACCGCGTTTGCAAAAACTTATCAAAGCCTTGTAGAATCTTGATCCACACAGTCTCTCTTCTTTGACTGATTGAGAGCTGATGGAAATTTGATTAAAAACAAGAGCCAAAGCGAGAACGACAATGAAAAC